TCCTTGTGGATTTGATCATTTGATGCATCACACTGTTGTGATTTTGTCTGGTGTTTCTTGGGGACGCCATCTTGATGTGTTTATTTTATCAGCGGCCTCACATTGGTGGTGTACTGCACTCTGACGTAGTGTGTGTGTGTGTGTGTGTGTGTGTGTGTGTGTGTGTGTGTGTGTGTGTGTGTGTGTGTGTATTCACCTAGTTGTGTTTGCGGGGGTTGAGCTTTGCTCTTTCGGCCCGCCTCTCAAATGTCAATCAACTGTTTACTATTTTTTTTCTACACCACACACACACACCCCCCAGGAAGCAGCCCGTGACAGCTGACTAACTCCCAGGTACCTGTTTACTGCTAGGTAACAGGGGCATTCAGGGTGAAAGAAACTTTGCCCATTTGTTTCTGCCTCGTGCGGGAATCGAACCCGCGCCACAGAATTACGAGTCCTGCGCGCTATCCACCAGGCTACGAGGCCCCCATCCCCGAGGCCCCCATGTGTGTGTGTGTGTGTGTGTGTGTGTGTGTGTGTGTGTGTGTGTGTGTGTGTGTGTGTGTGTGTGTGTGTGTGTGTGTGTGTGTGAGCGTGCCACACACGGGCATGGCAAGGAATGCCCATGGTCGCCCTTCCTGTAGATATTCCAGTCCGTTCTCCGGTTGTAATACCTAAAGTAGTTACTGCGCAGTGGTAGTGTGGACATGGTCTTGGCACGCCTTAGACCCCGGTTCGTATTCCACGCTGTTCAAATACTTTAGAATTCATTCTTAGGCAACTAAGCAACAAATGAGCTTGTTTAAGTGTTGGCCAAACATTCCTGCTGCGATTTTCCAGAGGTTTGGGAAGATATTCTTGAGGTTGTCTTGAGATGATTTCGGGGCTTTTAGTGTCCCCGCGGCCCGGTCCTCGACCAGGCCTTCACCCCCAGGAAGCAGCCCGTGACAGCTGACTAACACCCAGGTACCTATTTTACTGCAAGATATCCTGTGATGTAATTATGCAGATCACCGTGTGTTTTTTTTTTTTACATACTGAAAGATTATCTGGGTTCGTTGTGTACCTGTAACGACCACAAGAGACCTCCCTAACCCCCCAACCACCCCTCGTAACGACCCGACGACCCCAAGCATCTCCTAGAATCACTTCAAGGCTCTCGGACAGCTTGTTCCTTGATGGACTTCCCGAAGATGTATTAAAGTTACGTGTTCCATTCTTTAGGTATTATGTTCCTGAGTGTGTGTACTCGCCTAGTTGTGCTTGCCCCAGCCCCCCTACTCCCCGCAAGCACAACTAGGTGAGTATAATAGTTGAGCTTCGGCTCTTTGGTCCCGCCTCTCAACTGTCAATCAACTGGTGTACAGGTTTATTAGTCTACTGGGCTCTATCATATCTACATATGAAACTGTGTATGGAGTCAGCCTCCACCACATCACTGCCTAATGCATTCCACCTGTTAACTACTCTAACACACAAAAGTGTGTGTGTGTGTGTGTGTGTGTGTGTGTGTGTGTGTGTGTGTGTGTGTGTGTGTGTGTGTGTGTGTGTGTGTGTGTGTGTGTGTATGTGTGTGTGTGTGTGTGTTGGTTTGTTTCATCAATCTTCTCTTTCTCACTCCACTACTAGAAATGTGACAGCTTGGAGGTTCATGTACTGTTGCTAGTGGCATCTTAACCTTGATTGTGACCTACAGTATTTTATACCATGTTTGGTCCCCTCTTCCTGGTGCGTGTTATCTACCATGAAGTAATATTCCTCCAGGCAGGGGAGGAACGTTTGATATCTTACGACACGGTCGAGTTAATACACACTAATCATATTTACCACCCGAGGCGATGTGAATTACTCGCCAGATGTGATTCAGTGACTTGTTATCGTGTTAGTTTTGTGTTAAGATGTTCGCTGGTGGCCACGTGTAGTGTGTATCATACTGGTAGTGCAGACGAGGAGTCACAATAACCTGGCTGAAGTATGTTGACCAGACCACACACTTGAAAGTGTGAAGGGACGACGACGTTTCGGTCCATCCTGGACCATTTTCAAGTCGATTGTGAATGGTCCAGGACCCTTCACTTTCTAGTGTGTGGTCTGGTCAACACACTGGGAGCCTGTGGGTTTGGTCCATGTTACTTCTGTCCAAAAGATTTTGGTGTCTCTGTTACATATTAACTTAATTAAAATTTTATATGTATTTTTTTTGCAGTTCTAATTTGCAGTGAAACCCTTTTAGGTGATGATTTTTTTGTTGTACTTAAATTATGTGGATCATTTACGAGCGGTTTAATGTTGTATGGTGAGGGCTGAGGTAGTTTGATCACTGGGTGGTGAGGGCTGAGGTAGTTTGATCACTGGGTGGTGAGGGCTGAGGTAGTTTGATCACTGGGTGGTGAGGGCTGAGGTAGTTTGATCACTGGATGGTGAGGGCTGAGGTAGTTTGATCACTGGATGGTGAGGGCTGAGGTAGTTTGATCACTGGATGGTGAGGGCTGAGGTAGTTTGATCACTGGATGGTGAGGGCTGAGGTAGTTTGATCACTGGATGGTGAGGGTTGAGGTAGTTTGATCACTGGGTGGTGAGGGTTGAGGTAGTTTGATCACTGGGTGGTGAGGGCTGAGGTAGTTTGATCACTGGGTGGTGAGGGCTGAGGTAGTTTGATCACTGGGTGGTGAGGGCTGAGGTAGTTTGATCACTGGATGGTGAGGGCTGAGGTAGTTTGATCACTGGGTGGTGAGGGCTGAGGTAGTTTGATCACTGGGTGGTGAGGGCTGAGGTAGTTTGATCACTGGGTGGTGAGGGCTGAGGTAGTTTGATCACTGGGTGGTGAGGGCTGAGGTAGTTTGATCACTGGATGGTGAGGGTTGAGGTAGTTTGATCACTGGATGGTGAGGGCTGAGGTAGTTTGATCACTGGATGGTGAGGGCTGAGGTAGTTTGATCACTGGATGGTGAGGGCTGAGGTAGTTTGATCACTGGGTGGTGAGGGGCTGAGGTAGTTTGATCACTGGGTGGTGAGGGCTGAGGTAGTTTGATCACTGGATGGTGAGGGCTGAGGTAGTTTGATCACTGGATGGTGAGGGCTGAGGTAGTTTGATCACTGGGTGGTGAGGGCTGAGGTAGTTTGATCACTGGATGGTGAGGGCTGAGGTAGTTTGATCACTGGGTGGTGAGGGCTGAGGTAGTTTGATCACTGGATGGTGAGGGCTGAGGTAGTTTGATCACTGGGTGGTGAGGGCTGAGGTAGTTTGATCACTGGGTGGTGAGGGGCTGAGGTAGTTTGATCACTGGATGGTGAGGGCTGAGGTAGTTTGATCACTGGATGGTGAGGGCTGAGGTAGTTTGATCACTGGATGGTGAGGGCTGAGGTAGTTTGATCACTGGATGGTGAGGGCTGAGGTAGTTTGATCACTGGGTGGTGAGGGGCTGAGGTAGTTTGATCACTGGGTGGTGAGGGCTGAGGTAGTTTGATCACTGGATGGTGAGGGCTGAGGTAGTTTGATCACTGGATGGTGAGGGCTGAGGTAGTTTGATCACTGGGTGGTGAGGGCTGAGGTAGTTTGATCACTGGATGGTGAGGGGCTGAGGTAGTTTGATCACTGGATGGTGAGGGTTGAGGTAGTTTGATCACTGGATGGTGAGGGTTGAGGTAGTTTGATCACTGGATGGTGAGGGCTGAGGTAGTTTGATCACTGGATGGTGAGGGGCTGAGGTAGTTTGATCACTGGATGGTGAGGGCTGAGGTAGTTTGATCACTGGATGGTGAGGGCTGAGGTAGTTTGATCACTGGATAGTGAGGGCTGAGGTAGTTTGATCACTGGGTGGTGAGGGCTGAGGTAGTTTGATCACTGGGTGGTGAGGGTTGAGGTAGTTTGATCACTGGATGGTGAGGGCTGAGGTAGTTTGATCACTGGATGGTGAGGGCTGAGGTAGTTTGATCACTGGATGGTGAGGGCTGAGGTAGTTTGATCACTGGATAGTGAGGGCTGAGGTAGTTTGATCACTGGGTGGTGAGGGCTGAGGTAGTTTGATCACTGGATGGTGAGGGCTGAGGTAGTTTGATCACTGGGTGGTGAGGGCTGAGGTAGTTTGATCACTGGATGGTGAGGGCTGAGGTAGTTTGATCACTGGGTGGTGAGGGCTGAGGTAGTTTGATCACTGGATGGTGAGGGCTGAGGTAGTTTGATCACTGGATGGTGAGGGCTGAGGTAGTTTGATCACTGGATAGTGAGGGCTGAGGTAGTTTGATCACTGGGTGGTGAGGGCTGAGGTAGTTTGATCACTGGGTGGTGAGGGCTGAGGTAGTTTGATCACTGGATGGTGAGGGCTGAGGTAGTTTGATCACTGGATGGTGAGGGCTGAGGTAGTTTGATCACTGGGTGGTGAGGGCTGAGGTAGTTTGATCACTGGATGGTGAGGGCTGAGGTAGTTTGATCACTGGATGGTGAGGGCTGAGGTAGTTTGATCACTGGATGGTGAGGGCTGAGGTAGTTTGATCACTGGGTGGTGAGGGCTGAGGTAGTTTGATCACTGGATGGTGAGGGCTGAGGTAGTTTGATCACTGGATGGTGAGGGCTGAGGTAGTTTGATCACTGGGTGGTGAGGGCTGAGGTAGTTTGATCACTGGATGGTGAGGGTTGAGGTAGTTTGATCACTGGATGGTGAGGGCTGAGGTAGTTTGATCACTGGATGGTGAGGGCTGAGGTAGTTTGATCACTGGGTGGTGAGGGCTGAGGTAGTTTGATCACTGGATGGTGAGGGCTGAGGTAGTTTGATCACTGGATGGTGAGGGCTGAGGTAGTTTGATCACTGGATGATGAGGGCTGAGGTAGTTTGATCACTGGATAGTGAGGGCTGAGGTAGTTTGATCACTGGGTGGTGAGGGCTGAGGTAGTTTGATCACTGGACGGTGAACTGTGCCTTGAGTTCACCGCTGGGTTGAACATTACCCTGAACTTTCAATACAATATGGTGTACCTTTGCAAATAATTTCAGTATCTGACGGCTTGATTTTGTCCACAGGTTTGGAGAGCGAGCATTTCACCTGGGGTAAGGAGCAGCTCCTTAATGACGGCTGTAACCCGCCATCACTGGTTGTTCACGTGTTTGTCCCCACACACTCACCCACACTCTTTCACTGTGTAGCCGAATTTTCACTGTTATTGTCACTTTCATTGTTCACTGGTAATGTTTCATTGTTTAACAACACGTTCACTGTTTTTAACGACAGTTTCATTTAACGGCACTTTTTTTTACTGTTAACGACTGTTTAACGAAGCTGTTTATCACTGTTCAACGACCCCTGTTATCTGCACGTTTGGCATGACACAGTTGGTGAGAGTTATCTGCTGCTTTATCGAGACCTTGTTAGCACTGGTGAGTGGAGATAACACTCTTCTCCTTCACTGATCTCAGGTGAACTCTTCACACCTGGAGGGTGACACTTTGCACCTTAGGAGTTGTGAGTACCTCAGGAGTACCTGCCCAGTACCTGTCTTGTCACAGTAATTATACCTATCACAGCACTTACATCTGACACAGTTTGACCAGACCACACACACTAGAAGGTGAAGAGATGACCACGTTTCGGTCCGTCTTGGACCATTCTCAAGTCGACAATCGACTTGTGAATGGTCCAGGACGGACCGAAACGTCGTCGTCGTCGTCCCTTCACCTTCTAGTGTGTGGTGTGGTCAAACTACACCAGCCTCGTTATTGTGACTCCTCGCCTGCATCTGGCACAGTTCCTGGACATTAGGGGGGGGGGGGTGTATAAAGGTGTTTCGGTACTTTGTTCTTTGTTCATGTTCTAACGCCTCATTATCTGCACCAGTACCTTAGTACACTTGAGTTGTACATGTTCCTCTAGTTGTACCTGTAGGCGCTCCTGTAGCTGCTGTACCTGTACAATGTACTAATAGCTGTACTCCAACATTATATAATGTACGTACACTTGCCACATTAAGTACCTGAGTGTTTAATATATAATTGTTCGTGTTTATGGTAATGTTTCCCTCTGCCTCTAGTTTTGGAAAGTTATATTTGTATATAAAGTATATGTACATTATTATTATTATTATTATTATTATTATTGTAACTGGTATTAATATTATTATTAACTGTATTTTTATTACCATTATTTTATCAGTGTATATTTATGAAACATGCCCAACCTTTTCTGTTCTGCCCGGGGGACTGAACTCGGGTCTCCTAGTCTCATAGGCAGGGTGCAGAGAGTAAAGAATTCTCCCAATTGAGGCCTACCATCCTGGTAACCAGGGGCTAGATTCACGAAGCAGTTACGAAAGTACTTACGAACGTGTACATCTTTCCACAATCTTTGACGGCTTTGGTTACATTTATTAAACAGTTTATAAGCATGAAAACTACTCATTCAACTGTTGTTATTGTTATAAACAGCCTCCTGGTGCTTCAGAGCTGATTAACTGTTTAATAATTGTAAACAAAGCCGCCAAAGATTGAGAAAAGATGTACAGGTTCGTAAGTGCTTGTGGAACTGCTTCGTGAATCTGGCCCCATGTACGTAAGCTCTCGTACACACACGTGCAATGTGTACGAGACTTTACGTACAACTATTAAGAGGTTAATTGTGTTGAGAGGATGACTTAGTCTTGTATAGGATGGGGGGGAGGGGGAAGGAGGAAGGGAAGGAAACTATCAGGAGAAAGCGCCAATCCATTACGACTATATAGCACTGGGATCAGGATGAGGATTTGGGAGAGGACGAGGGGGGAGGGGGAAGGAATGGTGAACCAACCACTTGTGGACGGTCGGGGATTGAACGCCGACCTGCATGAGGCGAGACCGTCGCTCTACCGTCCAGCCCAAGTTGGGAGAGTGAGCGATAATGCTCAAAATGGAACGAGAGATTTTATACAGAATTCCTGAATGATCTCTGACTGTGCTCATTGTCTTCGTTTGATGCAGAACAATTTGCATGGCAAAAGGTCGCGCCTGCAGCAGCAGCTTTCCTAAACTTCATATTCATCAAAACCTGCTATAAAAATACAAGCACATTTCCCCCTTAGATTTATACACTCAACATGTCTCACAATATCTTATCTTGAGATGATTTCGGGGCTTTAGTGTCCCCGCGGCCCGGTCCTCGACCAGGCCTCCACCCCCAGGAAGCAGCCCGTGACAGCTGACTAACACCCAGGTACCTATTTTACTGCTAGGTAACAGGGGGGGCATAGGGTGAGAGAAACTCTGCCCATTGTTTCTCGCCGGCGCCTGGGATCGAACCCAAGACCGCAGGATAACAAGTCCAGCGTGCTGTCCGCTCGGCCGACCGGCTCCCTCAACCGTTAGTGTGTGTGTAAAATATATGTTGTATATAGTAATTCACTGATGTATACATGCCCGGGATATCTGTGACTAGTATAATTTACAGTTGATTTATATAGATAAATTGGGACTGGGGAGTGGTAGAGAGGTGGGGGTGTGGGAGGGCTGGTGGGGGTGTGGGAGGGCTGGTGGGAGTGTGGGAGGGCTGGTGGGAGTGTGGGAGGGCTGGTGGGGGTGTGGGAGGGCTGGTGGGAGTGTGGGAGGGCTGGTGGGACCGCACGGGTGAGTAATGAGCCACTACATCAAAAGCTTGGTCTTAATGTTGGTTTTGTTCACCTGTGTCTCGGTGGTAGGACCTTAGACGTGTTGGGGGGGGGGGGGGGGGGGGGGATGGGGGGCGTGTTTTGTGGGGGGGGGGGTTTTGTAGGGGTGGGGGCGTGTTCTGTGGGGGGGAGTGTTCTGTAGGGAGTGTGGGGGCGTGTTTTGCAGGGTGGAAGCGTGTTCTGTGGGGGGTTCTGTGGGGGGTGTGGGGGCGTGTTCTGTGGGGGGTGTGGGGGCGTGTTCTGTGGGGGGTGTGGGGGCGTGTTCTGTGGGGGGTGTGGGGGCGTGTTCTGTGGGGGGTGTGGGGGCGTGTTCTGTGGGGGGTGTGGGGGCGTGCTCTGTGGGGGGTGTGGGGGCGTGTATTCCTTCGTATAAACGTTATATCTTAGATTTAAAAGCGTTTGTCATTTAAACACTGTGTCCTGCATGGAGACGCGATTTCTGTGACGGCAATGGGTATAAAAATAAAGGTGAAGCAAGTTGGGCATTACGAGGCATTGTGGAAAAAAGGCTAATTTTGACTGATCATCTCCTCCAGTCATCCAGTTACCATCGCTCACAGTCATCACCAGGAAATGGTCTGTTTTAACGCACCATCGCATAATATACCAATTATCAGTAAGGCTAAAATGCCTGACATTTGGCGATGAATCCAATGATGAATAGGATGTGTTGCTGTAAGCCACCTGGTGCTGCCCTGGCGAGGGGAGGGGGTTGTGGAGGTGGGGTGGGGGGGTTGTGGAGCGAGGGGGGGTTGTGGAGGTGGGGTGAGGGGGTTGTGGAGGTTGTGGAGGAGGGGGGGTGTGGAGCCCTACCCACAACCCCCAACGACCAACTAGTTCTCCCATTTATTGCACCGCTATCTTACCGCTATCAACCACAGCCTAAATAACTTCGGGGGCTCTTACGAAACCTGTACATCTTTCCACATCCATGGCGGCTTTGTTTACGTATATTAATACGTTTGTGCTCCTATGACCTGCGAACTTATCTATAATAACAATAACCTTGTCTTACAAAGTTTTGGAGCTCTTTCAAATTGTTTTAAAAAATGGAAACTAAGCGACCATGATATAGGAAAGATGTACAGGCTTCGTAAGTGGACGCGTAAAGGCTGGATGAAGGCTGTGAAGCGGAAATGCGTTCTTCTTGTGGGCAGTAACACGTGATATGTATCGCGTGCGCTCTGTGGCGTGCGCCCTGTTGCGTGCGCTCTATGGCGTGCGGTCTGTTGCGTGCGCCCTGTTGCGTGCGCTCTGTGGCGTGCGCTCTGTGGAGGACGCACTCCACAGGGGCGCGGTTTACACCAGTGCTGTAAACCGCGTCCTGTGGAGCAGATCGCCGGTATATTATTGGCAAGTTCTCGTATTTCTAAATGACGGAACTCGAGCAGGAAGATAGGGGAAAAATATCTCGGTGTAATTAAATTTAATAGCATCTCCTGGTGGCTGTAATTGGTTGTGTCGCTGCGTTAGGCGGTCCCGTTGCTCAGGTAATATGCTCAGGTCTTTTGATGCTCTGGCGGCAAAAAGTAGCGCTATTTATATGCGAATACAGAGTTGGGAAGCTATTTTGGAAGCAGATATGCCGTTGTTTAGCGGGTGTCTGTCACGGACGGAGAAGTGTGGATGCCAGCTACGGACGGGGGGAGTGTGGGCGCTAGCTAAGGACGGGTAAGCGCCCACAATCTGGAAAAAAATATATATTCTTTAACACGGCGATGGTAAAATGGTTTGTTTATACACGTTGCCTGATTCGGGAAACCTTGTTGTACGGTGTGTGCTGCTCTGATAATAGTTTTAATCTGGCTGGCGGATATTACTTGGCTGGTAGATATTATCTGGCTGGTGTTTGAGTGTCTGGTGGAACTGCAAGGAGTAGATATAGATAACAAGCTGAGAAGGCAGTATGATCGCTGCAGGGAGCATGTAAGCAGTAATGAGAGAACTTCTCAGTGAGGCAACGTGGGAGATGATACTATAGTGCTAAAATGTGTACTGAAGCCACTGGGAAAGTTTATCCCATACCGGAAAGTGATAGACCAAGTCCGCAGCGTTATCCTCTGATTCAACGTTCATTCCCACAAGACGAAGAATAAGAATGGAGAAAAAATGGAATATTGAGCGCGGAGAGCGAGAAAAAGGCCGACAATGAGAATAATGAATATATCAGAGAGAAGAGGGAAGCAGAATCAGATCAGCTAAGCTACACTTAGATAAGCTATGGTTGATCAGCAATTGCTGATCAACCTGACTTTGTAAACAGGTCGCGCAGAGTTATACGTACAATGAGAGTGAGTGCATCAGAAGGGAGGCGATCACCTAAGAAACTTGCATCATAAGCCAACCCGTTCTCGCACTTGCTTATAGTCAATATTGGCTTATTTAATAAGTGCATATGTGACATACTAATTGATTGTGAATATTTTAGTTTACCTTGAAAAGCTTCATAGAAAACACTGACCTCACCTAACCTTCTTAGTATGTTAAGATAAATATCTTATTGGTTCTTATTTACAATTATTACTTAACCTATCAACGGTATAGGTTAAGTAATAATTGTAATAAGAAGCAATAATATGCTTATCTTAACATACTAAGAAGGTTAGGTAAGGTCGGTGTTTTCTATGAAGCTTTTCAAGGTAAACTAAAATATTCACAATCAATTAGTATGTCACATATGCACTTATTAAATAAGCCAATATTGACTATAAGCAAGTGCGAGAACGGGTTGCATAAGCAACAGGACAAGTTGAGGTTACACAACATTACTAACCGGCGGCCACTGTGTATAACGAGGCCATCGTGGTCCAGTTGGTAGTGTGTGTGCACGCACCCGAGCAGTTGAGCAATATGGGTCTGATGGCATCG